AATTGATGTTTCAAACGTTATATACATTGATTTTTATTTAATATTAAATTGATGTTAATTTTGTATATATACCAATATGATAATGATTATTTCCACCTTTTGTTTTTTTGATTTTAGTCGAAAATAAAATCATCATTCCTCCTTAATTATTCAATACAATCCACAATTTATTCTACCATTCTATATTTTATTCTTGTTAATTAGTATTAATAATAGTATTATTTGAACATTTTAATATAATATTTTTAGCAATAGCGCCATAAAATTTATTATCAATTTTTAACTGTAAAGATGAACAGAGCTGTAGCATGATTTTGTGAATTTTTTTTAATAAAGAATATTCTGATTGCAACTGAATATTAACTGCATGAAGTAGATTTCCTACATGTGAAACGAATTCCAAATATGCCATTTCATACTCGAAAAAATTTTTCAAAATTTTAGGACAACTTTTAAAATCTCTATTTAAGAAGTTTTTTTAAGTTTGTAAAATTTTAAAATTCTATCGATGGCAGGGATTTATGAAAACCACCTGATAGGTATATATCGCAACAACTCACACCATTCCAAGTCAGACCACTTCACCAACTCTTTTAATTCATTAACTCTTTTAGTTGATGAACTAAATTCGCTAAAACATTTTATCATAATTATTTCGACATCCACAGATAGTACATTCATTACCTTCTTGCAAGAATTATGTAGTATATACAGCCAATTGGTATTAATTCATTATTATGCTGCCTCAATTCGGTAACTTTGGTTTTTGCCAAAATTTACAGAGGCATTATCAGCGCAGAAAGCTGACATGCAAATCATTGATAACCCTGAATCAGCATTGTTTACCATTATGTGGCTAGCAACATTGTGGATTTTTCACTATCCGTGTAAAAAATTTTAACAGTTTTATTGAAATGTTTTTATTCTTGTTGAAATAGCGAAGGGGGAAATGTTTTAATATTTCCCCTATTAGATGCATCTGTTAGAATTGCATATGGATGCCCATCTTTCAAATCGTCTAGAATTGACCTCTAGGATTTAGGTACTAAAACACTTGTAATAGCCTTGTTCATTTTTGTTCTGTCACAAGTAAGGTTTGCACTTATATTGGAGTCGTTAAAAAGATTCGACCCACATTGTGATGATATACTCTGTGAATGTTGAACTATATGATAGATGTATATGATTTCTGCAAATGTAGTTGCATCTGTATTATTTATTATTTTTGAGAATATTTTTGTATTATCGATGTAGATATACTCCCCTGTACTGACTTATATGAATGAAAGATGTATTATTGGATAAAAATAAAACAGGATAGAAAGAAATTTACAAACTAGACATAATTTTCGAATAAATATTTAAAATTTATTTAAAAAATATAAAAATAATCAATTAATGTCTCTCAAAATTATTATTTATATATTAAAAACGTTAAAATACTATAAAAAAAATTTCGGGAGAAATTAAAAAATTGCGGTAGATTTTTGCGGGAGATTTCCAATTGCGGTAGTTTTGCGGAAGAGAGATGTCTACGTGTAAACTAAAAAATTGCGAGAGTCTCCGGCTGATGGGGGGAGACATGGCAACCCTGCTCTCATATGTTAGAAGGTGGCCCTACTAATTGGGAGTATCTTAAACTCAATACATTAAAGGATAAGGAATTGAGTCAAATAAAAGTTTTCTTAAAGAGGAAAAAATCCTGGAAAAATAATTGTAATAGAAAAATTGAAAGGTTATGTATAATACGTAATACCTTTGAAATTCTGTAGTAAAATTGTGAATTTACTACATGTTGGACATCAGGGTCGGGATAAAATAAAATCTTAGGCTCGTTATTATGTATGGTGGCCTGGTGTGAGTAATGATATTGAAAAAATTTAAGGAGATATATTCCCTGTAATTCGTGTGCCGCTATGCCCTATAATGAGGTTGGCAGTAGTTAGATAAAATTAACTAAACTGTAGGAACGTATCCACGTAGACTTTTTTGATTTGGATAAAAGATTGTTAAATATGTTAAATATGACCAAAATTGAATATTATATTTTTTAGTTTAAAAGGTCACTGTAATAAAAGATAAGAAAAAATCGGTAACGAAAAATGAAATTGTAAAAGACAAATGTATTTTATTATAAAAAATGTATATAATGACAAGAATTTTGTATATAGATATATATAATAAAATTAAATTTTAAAATCAACAAAGAGTTCTCCCGTTGCCTTCCACTAAATTAAAAAAGATCATACTTTTTAGTGGTTGATTCATATTTAAAATGGATAGAATATGACGAAGTAAAGGGTTATACCACAAAAATTGTTATTAGAGAATAACGGGAATTATGGGCCAGGTAAGGTATACCTGATACGATCGTTACCGATGGAGGTCCAGCCTTTATAAGTGATGATTTTAAACAGTTTTGTGCTGAGTCACAGACCAAACACATTCTAAGCTCCACTGTATCATCCCAATGGATAAGCTGAGAGGATGGTAACGATTGTAAAGAATTGGCTCAGAAAGGCTGGAAAAGATAAAACGTGAGATTTATATCTTAATTTTCGATACCATGAAGGTTTCACTCCTTCGGAATTGTTTCTAGGTCGAAGAATAAAGGTTCCATTGGATTTGTTAAAACTAAAGAAAAATAGTTATATAATCCCGCTAGACAAACCTAGTGACCATAGGGGATTTAATGTGTTGCCTTATAAATTTGGGTAAGTGGAAAATAATTCCCAGGAAAAAAAAATCCCAATAATAATTCTTAGAAAATAATTTCCCGGAATTCTCAAAATTTTTAAATATTTTATTTGAGTTTATTTCGTGGATATATTTATAGGGAATTATTTCTCCTATTTTATTAATTTTGTGATTGTTAATATCTTTAAAAACGGGATTTTTTTTCTAGAGACTTATTTTACTAGATTCATAAATTTGACTATGAGGGTAAATTTATGCGACTAGTGAGTCTAATTTATGACCCACCGTTATTGAATGTACAGAATTAGTTATTTTTTATTAAAATAGCCTCATTCGATTAAATTCTTTCTCACAGTGGTAATTACATATTATGTATTGAAAGTATAATAAAATTATGTTCTGTTTCTCAGTGAGAGAATTTGAAAGTATAATGTGACTTGGTATTTAAATTAATATAAATCTGTAAAATTTTGTGAATTCACCATGTGTTACATGACATCATTAAATATACCAGTATGAAAATAATTTTTTTTTGATTTAGTGACCTTTATAAGTTCGCTGCCTTAATTTCGTTATATTATGGAGATTACAATTTTGCATTATGGCAGTTTTATAGAATTTTGGTGAATTACGGATGTTAAATAACATTTGTAAGAAATTACTTATTAATATATGACCAGATAAAAATTGTTGAAAAATATTAAGTGTTAATATAATTACCGCCATAGAGAAAATAAAAGTGTATTTCTTTTTCTTTACACACGCCCCACGACAATTAAATGGAAAATAAATTGAAAGTTATACTATTATTTAGGGAGCATAATAAATAGTATATATGGAATAAAGTTTACACAAGGATTAACACCATAAAAAAAACTAATAAAATGAATTATAATTAAATATGTTTATTTTCTTGTATGTTTTTTTTTATTGTAAACTGAGGTTCAAAATTATTAAACTCGTTATTTTTTTAAATTTTTTTTTGTAAAATAAAGTGGAAATTAAATTCTATCCTTTATATTATGTTACTATGCGAACCCCATCTCAGTTGGTTAATTTTAATGAATACTATGTGACTGTGATCCCAAAGAATGTCAGCATGGAAATTTAACAATTCCAAAAATAATCCGCCAATAGTAAAAAAAAAAAGTATTACAATTTTCAATCCGAAGGACATTTTATGGAGCAATATGACCTTCCGCTCAAGCTGTAAATGAATAACCAAATTGATAAATCAGTGTCCATGCCATAATCCAATTTCTCATAACAGTTTAGCTAGAGAGTTTGGAAACAACAATCATCGATCTTTCCCTCTGATTTTATTTATGATAGCATGACAAATATTTTATTGACTACGAAGGACTATACTGTAGCAATTACTCCCATAATATCAATACTTCCCACCGTAAATACGTTAGATATAATCTGGAAAAACTCTCTTAGTTTAATTATTTAAAATATTGTAATATATTTCTATTTTTTAAATACTGAATAGATATTTTATATAATTTTTTTTAGTAAATGCCTTTTTCCCATAAAGGGGTTGCATATCGTAGCCTTGCATAATTTTAATAGATAATTATAAGGCAGCCGTCAATCAACAATATTGTGTATTATTGATTGGTTGGAATTTATAATAATAAAGATATAATTATTATGATATTTTTATTAGTTATTAGATTATGATATTGTTATTCATTTTTTTTATTAGGCTTATAAAATGTTTGATATTAGTTAAATAATATTAAATGCAATTTGGTGTATTATTCTTACATTATTCTTGATTTATGATAAAAGTTAAATTAACTTAATATAAATAAAGTTAAGAGTATGATATATTTGAATGAAAGGAGAATGCTAAATCATTACCATACCAGGGAATAAAAACATATTTAAGAATGTTGGAGTATAGCACCTAATAATAGAAAAATATATTATATTTTACAAAATATTAAAAATCTTTGTACCATAGGAAAGTTCTCAAAGTTGAAAGAGTATAACAGATCTTTAAAATTCAATTTGTTCCTTCTTTTTCAGAGAAGGAGAGGGATATAACAATTAACCCCACCTTGGTACCCTAATTTAGAATGATATAATATCAACATTAATTTTCTAACTTCTTTAAATATTTTAATATTTTTAGAAATTTTTGTTTATTACAATTGTGGTAACATATTTTTTTATTAGGTTTAAATAATAATTTTGCTAATGACCTATTAATAATGTAACTGTTGCAGCTGTCCAAAATGGAATTAAATAATTTAAAGAACAATATATTATAAGCAATGTCAATCAATGTGGATTTTGTTATTCTATTTTGGTTTTATATAAATCATTCATTATTCATATTTTTGAGAAGGAATAATAAAGTTAATTATTTTTTGAATAAGTTAATTTCTGGGTTGTCGATAATGGTACTTTGTGACCAGGATCAAAGGGTCCTAGGTTGGCGGAATTCACCTAAATAAACAGGTAAATAAACCATATTTATGTATATATTAATTTTTAATCAAATTAAAATGAAAATCGCAATGTTTTAGTTGAACATTCACGATAGGCCAGGATTTTTGTTTAATAAATAAGATTTGAATTTTTAGAATAAGGATTTTTATAGGAATTATTAATATTTTTGAAGTAATTATAAAATTTAAGAATGAATTTTTTTAAAATAATTATATGAAAAGTCGGACTTTACTAGTGAGGAAGTAAGCGACTGGGCGGTGGTCATTTAATTTTATAAAAGAAATATAATATATATGGTATAAAAGATATTTATTTGGATTATAATAATTATTACTGATAATTGAATAAAATAATTTTTTAATGAATTTTAACCCTATTATAGAAAGGGAAAAATAAAATAACTTTTTAATTGTTAAGTATTTAACATTAAAAGGAAGTAATTTTGGTTAAATTTGGAAATACCAATGTTCGTTGATGGTTACTGGCAAAAAGAAATTAAGAATGTTGGGATATGTATTGATGATTAAATAAATCAAAAACACAATTATTATTATTGTATGAATTTTAACCTTATTTTAAAGGAAGTTGTTGTAAGCAAGTAAATTTTAATATCATAAAGATGAACTAAAATAAAAAAATTTAAATTTTAAAGTCGAGTTGGATTCATAAAATATATCAATTGGTAATTTAGAAGTTTGTATAAAAAAAAATTAAGAATTTTTGAAATAAAGTTTAATGAATGATTTTAAAAAAATACTTATAATTTTAGTCCTATAAACTAATCTGACTAATAGCTGGTAGAAAGTGATAATGTATTTTAACATATAAATATTATATTTTATGTTTGAACTGGCCTATATCGTAAAATGGTATAATCAACATATATACTATTAATATACATTAAATACCTAGTGAGAAAGAGAGGTTCATTAAATGAAGCTGTCTAACTTAGACAGGTTCATATTGTTATGTATTTTGTTAGTTATACTTAGTGTTGTTAATTGGTTGGTTGTATAAAACCAGACCCGGGGTTTGGGTCTAAAAAATCGACCAAACCAGCTCTGAGCACAGACCCGGGGTTCAGACCTTCATTAAGATAAATTATCCTTAATAATAATTATTAAACTTTATTAATTAATAAAAGATAAAAAGTATAAATTGATATTATAAATTATACTATATTTTGACTTTAGAATAGGCACATCCCCCCCCCCCCCCCTTAAATAATACGAATATCCAAAAGTATTATAATTATCTCAATCAAATTTAGGAACTAATGTTATCAAATATATATGTCCAATAGACACATTTCTAAAATTATTTAAAAAATCAATATTAAAAAATAGGGATGAAATTAAAAGAAAGTTAGCACCTCATTCTGAACTAGTAAGGGGAATTGGCATAGCGATACTAATTTATTTAACCAGGGTATGCTGACACACTTTCTAAGAAAGTTTCCAAGACCCATAGACCGGTCTGTTTTTTTGATTCCTTTTTTTCAATACCGGAAATTATTTTTAAAACTCACAAAAAAAAAAGATTTATATTTTGATTTAAAAATTTAAAAAAAATGAAATAAAAATTTATTACTGGATATATAAAATGCAAATGTGTTATCTTAAACATAGTAAAAAAATTAAATCAATTTATATAGTTTATTTAATTAAAGTTAAATAACTTTTTAAATAAATGTGTTATTTATTATAATTAATTTTACAAACAAAAATTTTTATCTCAACAATGGGCTTTATTTATTAAATCGTCACCCACAAGTGCAAGTCAAAAGCAAGACAACACAAGCACAACAAAACAAGAACAACACTGAAAAATAGTGACTATTTATAAAATATTGGCAATTTCTAAAACACAAATTCAAATATAAATTAATGATAAATTATTAAATATATATAATATTAATATGGTTAAGTTTAAATGTTATGTTAGCGTCAGTCTCAGTCAGTCAGTTAGTGTTGTTTTAATTTGCTATGCTAGGTCGTAAAATTTAAGACCAAATTTTATGCTCAGGCTTGCTCTGAGCCTGAACCCGGGGTGGAAACCCGGATTGTGAATGTTTTAACAAATTCCAATCAAAAGCACCCAAAATTATAAATATTTAAATGGTAAGAAAAATGAGAATAAAATAAAGCTTTAAATTATTAATTTAGAAGGTATAATAATAATAATTAATTTAAGATTAGATATGAGATTTATTTTAACTTACTTTACATTTATCTGAACCCTGTGTCTGAACTCCGGGTCGGCCTGAGCACAAAATTTGAAATTAACAACACTATGCTGACTTGACATTACAACATAATGTTAATTAAAGAGATAGCGAGGTTCGTTTTATTTTCAAAAAAAACAAAAAGATTTTTTTTTGTTAAATGCCGTGGTTGGAATTTATAAATCGACACTGGAACGAAAGTTTTTTTTTATTATTTAAATTACTTTGTTTATTGTATATATTTTTTTTTGTATATTTTTTTAAAAATATTTAAGTAATTGATTTTATTTTTATGTACCTAAAGAAAATGAGTTCATCGCACCTTTGTTTAAAAAAAACAAATTATAAACCTAATGAAATTATATTTTTTATAATATTTTTTTTATTACGATGCTTGAATTTTATAAAAAAATAAATATCTTTTCTTTTTGTGTAGTATACATTTAAACTTCAAACTACGAAAATTTTCAATAGATTAACAAACGAGACAAACTCTTATAATATTATATAAAACGTTTTTATACTATACAGATAAGATTTATTTAAATAATATAGATATGTACATCTATCTTAATACTAACTGCTATGATGTAGAATAACATGAACATATTAAAGTGTACATGATTATAGTATATTTAAAAAAAATAGCTATATATAAAAGAGTAGTGCTGCAAACATTTCTAAAAAAATCGAACTCACGTTCTTTCAAAATTTTATGATAAATTTTTTTTTTAAATTTAACTTAATAAAAATAAATGTCTTATATTTTTTAACATATATTAACCATGTTAAAATATTATATAGTTTTTTGATATTTTATAATTGTTTATCAAAATTTTCATCGATAGACAAGAATGCTTGGCAGTTAATACGACTCGCTACAGTGGCAGATGAGGGGATTCGGTATTATACTTAATAAACAACTCTTTTAACAAGGGGAATTTATTAAAAAAAATTATTGTTTTGTCCTTTGTTTCAAATAATTGAGATAAGTCATCCTCCTCCAATCCTCTACTTCCTCGTTTTATAAATATTTATACAAAAATATTAAATTTTCATTTAAAGCATTTTAATATTGTTAATAAAAATATAAAATCCTAGGTATAAGATTTAAAGAAATCATTTATATATTAAATAAAAGTTAATTATTTCTACAATATAAAAATTTATACTTTAAATTATGTTCAACAATTAAAATATAAAATCCTTGATTAAAATAATTATGATTAAATTTCAGAAAATGACATTAAAAATAAATTCTAAATTATATCAACAATTCTATCTATGCACATAATATAATTTAATAATTTTTGCTTAAAATAAATTAAACTGGCTATTTAGTTATATTATATAAAATAAAATAATTAATATTACAATCAAATGTTGTTTTAAATTGGAACTTGAAGATTTTGAAATTGATTTATTACTTTTTAAGCTCATTTTATTTGGTAAGTATTGAATTAGTTCCTTCAAGGATGTTACTGTAAAGTATTTATCATATTTGGGCCATGGTATTGGTGATGTTGATTCATCTGATTTTAAATTTTCAGAATCAGATGATGATAATGAAATAATAATATCCATGCCTATGCTAATCTATTAAATTAATGTATAAACAATAATATTCAAATTAATAAACTATAATAATTGCTTGTTAAAAAAATTGAAATATTAATAATGAAAAACAGCTGATTAAAAAAATATAAGACTTTTTCGTAAAAAATTTGAATTAATATTAAATTTTTCAAATAAAAAAATAAAAATATTTTTAAAATTGAACGGTTAAATTTGAATGCGTTCGTCAACAAAAAAAGGCGTTCAAGTTCATCAAAAATAAAAGGAACGCCCATCATTTTTTTCAAAGAATCGAACTTCGTTCAGAACGCGTTCGTTTACAGCAACAAAGGGATTTATTTTTTTAAGAACAAAATCATAATTATTTTATCATTCATTGTTCAAATTTTAAATAGGATTATTTAGAATTTTGGAATTATATTTTTATCAATTTTCCATATTTATAATTTAAGTTATATTTGACATGAATATGTCAAACTTCATTTCTGAAAGTTTATAAAAAAATCGGAAAGCATATATTATAAATCAGAAAATTTCAACTGTACCCTGAATTCATAGTGGCTCAATTGCGATTGCGATTGCGATTTAGACGCCTTAAATACAAAATACAGTAAATATGATATCGCATTCATAGTTACCGATCGCGCGATTTGATACGCGAAAGCAAATCGCCGCGATTTTTTCAAAACACAAATCATTTTGTGTTTATCGCGAGATTTTGAAATAGTGCTTCGTTAAATACAGATTTTGGTGAATTTAGCTCAAAATTTTATTTAGCACTAATTTAAAATAAAGGTTCGTGATATTTTTAATGAAATGACAGGGGAGAATGATTGTAAAATATAGCATTTTAATTGAAAATATATTTATTATTTAGGTGATTTCATTGATACTGACAATACATCAGATGTTACAGTTATTAATAAAGATTCTGTAACACTAAATCTTAATTTTTTTTTTTTTTTTTTTTCTCTTTAGCTTTCACCTTTTCTGGTGGTAAGCTCCTTCAACATCTCTCTCCACTTTATGTTATTCGTACAATCTCTTTTATCTATTTTATACTTCTTTATATTGGCTCTAACTTTATGGCCCCATTGAAGTTTTGGCCTTCCTCTTTTACGTTTGCCCATCACTTCCAATCTTCACTAAATCTTAATGATTCTAGTAATTAATATTCTCTAAAAACTTATATTATTTATATTTAACAATCTATACCCTCTGTTGGATCACCTAGTTCATATTATAAATATCCTAAGAGAAAGAACAATAATATGGGTAATTTATATTTTTTAATTTTTTGATAAATTTTAAATAGATGAATATAGGGAACTAATTAAATTTGAAAAAGAAAAATCATTATTAACATTGGAATTGCTTAAAAATAAATCAACTGAATATGGAATATGTCTAATGTTGAAAGAAAAATTAGATGATTGTACAAAACAGGAAAAAAAAGAATTAACAACTAGAATATTTGATGTTATAAAAGATTTTAATTGAATAAAATTATTTTGTATATATTTATTTTATTTGAAATAGATATTTTTTATGTATTTATATTATTTGAAATAAATATTTTGTGAAATACATTGAATGATATAATTATTACCAAAAGTCCTACATTAATTAAGCTTGTGAGTTTGGTAATCAATAATATCTAAAAATATATTATTTATAATGAAGGATCTTCTGTTGAATCTGGTAGTTAATTTATAAATGTCCTAAGAGAAAGTTTAATGACACTGGTAATTTATGTTTATTTGCTTTATAAAAATATTTTAAATAGATGAATTTAGAACATCTATATAACTTTTTTAGTGACATATTCCTACAAATATATTTAATGAGTTTAGACTATATTAATAATAACTTTATTTTTATTATAATATATATAAAATACAAAACAAGATTTTTATATAAAATATAAAACAAGATTTTTATATAAAATACAAAATAAATATCTATAATATGGGATTTTTATATAAATATAAGCATAATAAATTTATATTAAACTTTGCAATATTTGTTGCTGATTTAATTGATTGTGGTTTAAATAAATTTTCAGGGGGTGATTCTATTTTAGGATTAAAAGAAATAAATCTTTCCTTATCAATAATTATATTATGTAGTAATGTGCATGTTTTTATGCTTTCTTTTATTAATATTAAGATTATTTAATCTTCTACTCTTCAACATCATTCTGTAAAAAAATATTAATTTGAGGATGGCTACCATTTTGAATTAATATAATGTCGTATCCGCAGTAAACAGTGTCTGCTTTAACAATCGCTTTGCAAAATCGCTGCGATCCATCAGCTGATCGATCGCAGCAATATCGCGTCTAAATCGCGATCGCACTATGAATTCAGGGGTACGATTCGATAAATAACATCGATAAAAAATATCGAAAGTCGATATAATTCAAAATAAATAGCAAAAGAAATAAAAAAAATGCCAGAAATACGGTTATAGGATGAATCTGAAGATAGATAAATTTCACCTTCATAGGGGAAATGGACACTGGGTTTATGAAGGGTGGGCGTGTCTGTTCAAAATGGTAATTAAATATTTAAATAACAATATATTATAAGGAATGTCAACCAATGTGGATTTTGTTATTCTATTTTGTTTTTATATACATCATTCATTGAAGGAAAAATAAAGTTAATTGTATTTTGAAAAAGTAAATTTCTAACAATATTTTTTGATAAAAAGGATAGAACCTGGACATGGAAACGTATTACAATATTGAGTCTGATGCGTTTCACCTATTGAAGCTATGGATCTTAAATTTATTTGAAATCTAACGCGATATCTATAGCCTGCATCACATAATTTGCTACACTTTGACCATAATGTCCACTAAAAGTAAAGGTTTTTAAATTAATAGAATTATTTAAATTAATTACCTGCGTGTATTTAATTGATGGATCAATTGTGGTTGAGAAAACCGATAAAATATTTTTATTATAACCAATGGCCGGAATATCATATGTTAATAAATCGTTCATTTTAGCTAAACATGAACTTTTGATATATAAACAAGATTCATATTGTAATTTCTCGTCCAATGAATTGAAACATATCGTAGGGTTATTACAATTTCGAGTGCGATATCGAAAGTTTGATTTCAAATAGGTAACATTTAGTACATTAGTAATATTGAAATAAGTTTCATATTCACAATTCAGATCATTGCACTCATGCCAATTTGTCCATTGACTCAGTGAGGTTATATTTTCTGATTTACAAATAGATGGAGAGTACATAGAAGAATTGCATAATGCTTCTTGAACCTCTCCCTCAACACTAATATTGCACACACCTCCACCTGTAGGATTCGGCTGGTTACATTTTCTTAGACGTATTGTTCGACCGACTCCACATTTAGCGCTACACAGATTACTATTCCAATCATTCCATTTGCCCCAAGCTCCATTAACTTATTGCAAATAAATTGTATTTTGTAAATTAAGTAAAATATATTTTAAAACATGGAATTTTGTTTCGACTATGCACTATAATAAAACATTCTTAAACCTATATATTTTAAAAGATATACAATAAATTAAGAGCCATCTACTGATAGAGATAAGTTTTAAGTGAAGGATTTTGATGGAGATCCGATGTTATAAAAACCTTCTTAAAAATCATCAGCCGTGGCCTATTTAGAAGACGCTTTTTGGGTATGAAACAGTCTGAAGTAAAAAAAATTTTGATGACTAAAAAATCCTTTTTACATCAGGGTTGTTAAAAAAAGTAGCATGCGACCGCGAATGCCATTTGTCAAAAAAAGTAGCGCGTTATTGCTACCACTATTTTTTCAAAAAAGGAGATATTAGCTACTTTTTTTAGAAAAAGTTAACTCTTGTATGATCACTGCTGAATTTTAAATAGAATAAAAGAGTTGTTGGAAAACATTATTATCATTTGATAAAATAAAAAAAAAAATTGTTTAATATTAAGATTCTATAGATATATCATTGTATAATTTTAAAAGGGTTGTGAAATGTTGGAAATTTTTATAGTCATTGAATGGAATGGGGAATTTTTTATAATCATTGAATGGAATGGGGAATTTTTTAAAGGGTTATTTATTTTTAATGTCATTATAATGAAATAAAGAATTTTATAAAGGGTTATATTTTTATGTCATTGTAATGAAATAGAGAATCTTATAAATGTTGAAAAGTTTGATTTTCACTGTGATAAAATTATGTTGGAAATGTTTTTAATTTCAATGGAGGTGAAATTGAGAATTTTGATACAAAAAAAAACTTTTAATTTAATGGAAATGGAAATGTTATTTCTAGTGTAAATTTTAACATTTGATAAGAATTATTTTGAAAATATAATTTTAAATTTAATAGAAATGTGATTTCTAGCGTAAATTTTGACATTGATAAGAATTATTTTAAATAATATATTTTAAATTAATAGAAATGTGATTTCTTGTTAAAATTGGAGATTTCATATGAATAATTTTCATATGAATATAAATTGTAAAATATTTTAAACACTAGTGAAAAATGTTTTAAATTGAAAAATTTGTCTTAGATTAAAATTTTATATTTTACCTTCATGAGTCCCACAATCTGCTGTTGTGCAGATGTAAGAGGCGTTTAATAGATTCAATATTAGTCCTTTTCATTTCTTACCAAATAAAAGTAATCATGATAAATAAGGGATTATCGAACATGGAAATTGGCTGAACTGCACTAATTGTAAAATTATGACTAAATTTATTTGTGCTTGTTAACTTGTTGAATAAGCCAAAACGAGTAATTGTTAATATTTATGCCTTCATATTAAATTAGAAATTGTGATTAGCATGAGATTGATAAAGATTCTGAGTAAAATAAAGTTGTTATTTTATTATTTAATTTATTTTTATAGAATGTCCATTGAATGTTAAGCCTAGACCTCAATTATTATAAAATATGACTTAATTCAAATCTGCTTAAAACTCAAGAAAATGACATTTCTTTTGATAATAACTAAAACGATGTCGGTTTTTTTTAAAGATAATGGCTAGGACGAATATGCTTAATAACAAGTGTTGCTAACAAATAAATCTTTTTCCAATGTAATTATTTCATTGTTTAAATTATATTGAATTTAATTTTTAATTTAAAATATTCAGAGTTAAATTATATTAAATCCATTTCTGTTGTCGCATCAACCCTCGGAAACTTGAAGCACGATGCACTTTCTTTTCGGAAAAAGATAGTGGAAAAATTACCCATCGCACAGGTGATAAAGAATATTTATATATTTACCAAGACATCTATTTAGAAATTTGAAATTTAAATTTTTCTGCTATCCATCGTTTATAATAGTATATTTTTATTAATCTTTTATTTTATTCTTTTTTAAAAATATATATTTTTAAAATATATTTAATTCTTAGTTGTGATGATTTAATGAAAAATATTGACGATTTAATTTCACATGCATATAAATTATATGTGATACGTGATATATAGCGCATCGCCCTCTAACGTTGAATACACAACAGAGCAACGCTAGGTTTTCCTCATTTCCATCTAATTGGAACAATTTAATTTGGGTATAAAAGTAAAAATATGAGGAGCCCTCCACACGTTTGTCAACATTTCGAAAAATGTTGCTTAAACCTCTATAGGCTTTAATTTAAAAAGGAGTGGGACAAAGAAAAAGCCTATACCCGAGAATTACAGTATAATTTAATTACTTTAAAGGTGGGTGATGGCTGATTTTAAGCTTAATTTCTTTAGTGTAAGTTATAATTATTGAGATATAATGTTCATAGAATCTGTAAATTAATATGATTAAAATAAAATAATATTTACCGTTCTACCACTTCAAATTTTCCACCGGAAGTCAATTTCCAAAATATATTATTCAAATTAGGTATTTTGCAGGTTTGTTCTCTCATTGAAAAAAGTGTGAATCAATATTTTATTTTCTAACAATTTATTAGATATAAAATTTTTAAAAATTATTATTATTATTGAGGCATTTGATCAACGTACAAGCTACAAAAAATCATATATAATTATAAACTTTACAAATGTACAACAAAAGAAATAATAAACGAAATTTCAATAATGCTTTGTCTGTATTTTAATTATTTTTGCAAATATTATCATTTTATATGAATGGGTTTAAAATTAATCGTCAATATGTTTCATTAAATCTTCACAACACTGTATATAAATTTAAATATATTATAAATAATATTTTTTCTATCGAAATGGGTAAATCGTAAATTATTTTGTGGAATAAAAATATAATATTAAAAATACTATCATTTAAATAATTTATAAAATACTTACTTTCAATGTAGTACTTTAAAAATTTAACTACTGTATCCCCCCGAACAGGTTTTTTTGACAAAGCATGCTCATACTAATATTTCAGTTTGTGAGAGTAATATTGAGTGTGAGGGTTGTAATTTTTAAAAATATACAAATAGCAATCTAAAAATTAAGTTAAGAAGTGGTCAATAGTTTTAAAAATATACAAATAGCTAACTGAAATTTAAGTTAAAAAGTGGTCAAAGTTTTAAAAATATACAAATATCTATCTAAAATTTAAGGTAAGAAGTGGTTTTAAAAAGAGGCGAAGGATCATTCAAGTAAATAATAGACTTTTAGAAAGTTCGATAGATTATAAATAGAATCTTTTAAATAATAATTTAGTTCTTAATAAGGATATACGTAAAATAGGTCATTCCAGGCACAACTAATATATTGCCATTCAGAGGTTGTACACAGTCCATTCTGGTTCTTGGCCTTTTTTAAAACTACCATTATAACATGAGCAATATACAACACCCTTTTTACATTTTTCTAATTTACTTTTATACGATGATTCTTTAAAATCTTAGATAAAATTAGCAATTCAAATCTGTTTTTTTTACCAATTTAGTAATATTAAATATCTCTATCATAAGAAATTATTAAGCGATATAAAAAAATGCAGCTAATACTATCAAAATATTATTGTTTTATCGCTTTGGTTCAAAGGTTTTATGAAATAAGAATTGGTCAGGTCAAAATAAAGTACTGATATTAGAGTGATAAAAGCGTGTATACTTTAAACTAATAAGGTTCGTTAAATAGATTAGAGTATAACATAGACTATAAAGAACATTTTCTTAAAACAAATCCTGTGAAAAAGAATTATGGTAACCACACTCCAAAAAAGGTAAAAAAGCTAGTTTCTGAAGCAACTAAATCCAAAAATATTATTTGATAAATTCAATACATATTCGTAAATGCATTAGCTAGAATTGTAGTTATTTATTCACTGGAATACAATCGCAGTAATATTTTCGTGAATACATTGGCTGTATGTAGACTTGTGCGCCGATAGCATTTTCGGCGGCGGCGTTTCTTTTTTTAAAATGATCGGCTGGCGGCGGCGAATCGATTTAGACGCCGCCACAAAAATTGGCGGCGGCGTCAAATATTTTTCTAACTTAAATTTTTTAAATTAAATTTATAAATTCATTGGAAAGACTTTTAAAATAAAATTTATACTTTATTATGTTTATAACTATAATTTAATGATTTCATTAAGTTATAATTATTTTATTAAGATTTAAAGGACATAATAATGATCTTTTAGAGTTCAGAGTGAGCCCAATAGAAAATGCACGCTCGCTGGATGTGCTCGTAGCTGGAACGCACAGGACCTTTCTAGCTAATATTGAAAGTTTAGGAAGATCCAATGCTCTTACCTTCCAAAAATCTAAGGCATCTTTTATCTCCAAATTATAAGGCGAAAATAATGAATAACACTCTTTTTCTAAACTAGTTAAATAGTCTTGTTGTTCCAGGTTATTGTTTTGAATAGATGAATGTTTCGTAGCCAATGACTTAAGATAATCGAGTTTTGAAGCAACTTCTGTCGTTTCAGATTCGTTTAATTCGTCCGTGTAAGGTCGTAGAGAGGTATCGTGTTGATATAAAAATTCAACCGGAGTAATATTTTTTTCCTTTAAATATTCATTTACTATGTTTATAGAATGATAACGAGGATCCAAAAGTGCTCCTAACACCTAAGTAAAAAAATAAAAGAAAGAGAACTAATATATAAAAAATTATTTATGTATTTTAAAATACTACCTGAAGATCGATTATTGGAAATCTATGATCAAATTTAGTAAGCATATTTTGTTTAAGGAATGCTATGGGAGGACTATCATATTCTTTTACAATTAAATGATTTTTAATTTCACTACGAAATAATAAGGCTAAATTTATAGTAACTCCTTTTTGGACAGATCATATGATTTTTGATTTTCACTATCATCATCAAACCTCAAATGATCTTCATAAAAAGGATCATTATCATCCAAATCTAAAATATCTGATGTATATGATATCGATACAAAACATTTTATATTTTCTTATTTTCAAAATCCGCTGTTTTGAATCTTAAGGCAACTCTAAC